GGTCAAAAAAAACCAATCCTTGAGCAGCATTAAAAATCCGCGTTGCCATAACCTGGAAGACCTGGGACAGCGTGAACTTGCGTCATATTATGGCATTACATTGCTCAGCTGGCGCGATATACTATGTCCAAGAACTGAAGAGAATCGCGTTCGAAAGTCTTACATACGACCGGGAATGGTCAATAGAGATCATTTGCATATTGATGTGAAAGGGCATGCCCAAGTGGCTCTGATGATAATCCGGTACTTCCAGAGTGCCCTACAGAGAACAGGACAACCGTATTGTTCAAACTCTGCGTTGAAGCGGCCTTTGTTTGCTGACAGTTCGATATTGGTGACAAAGCCACTTTGCTGGGCTGTGACAAACCCAGGCTGGGGAAAGTTAACTGTGCATCAATCTTTCAAAGTTAAGGTTCAGAGGAAACTTGGCTTTAGCGAGATTCCACTAGATAGTACTAAAGCAAAAATGGCACTCGGTTCTGACCTACGGACAGATGCGTTTGGGGGCTGGGTGTCTTCTAAACCAGGTAGTTTTATAGAATACTCGTTTCAGGTTCCATCAAAGAAATGGTCAGTGGGGATCGTGCTGCGCCGAATGAGGCAAAACGCAGGACAAGTACAAATGTGGCTTGACAAAAACAAAAAAGATGCTGTGGCAATAACTGGAGAAGCGTTCGGTAGCGTTCATTTTCAAACGCGTATTTATTTCGTGACCTCAGATGTTTCTCCTGGTCATCATACCATTAGCTTGGAAACAAAAGGCCAGAAGACCATTTCTCTCTTAATAAACGGCATCGTTTTAGGCCCTGCAGGTATCAAAGGATTCCAAGGATATAAGCCCACTGGAACTTTAGAAAAAGTTTGGAGTTCCGAGGACTATAAAAAGTTCAAATTAAGTTAAATCAGTATGAAATATGTCGTCAAGAACGCACACAGTTGTCCTAGTTACCGTGATTCCTTTTTATGCATGAAACAAGATTACCGGCTCAATTCTAATTGGTCGATGTACGAGTAATTAATCTTAAATTTTGCTCTGTAGGAGAACTTTACATTTGTTATATTGGTCTTTTTATGTTTCGTAAACTTGACCGGTTCTCTTTTGAATTGCATGAGGTTTTTTTTTCTTGAGACAACGAATTGTCTTGAAGTGTTAAACGTGCTTACGTATTGGAACGCAAATGTTACGTATAAAATCCCTTTAGAGATACCTACGCAAACTAGGTTTGCGGCCGGCACAAATTCATTTTCAAATGTTGGACCTTGCGTACCCTGAAAGTATTTCAAGCAAGAATGTAACAAAGACTCTAAACATATTAACTTTATGGGGCGTTCATTTAACAGGTACAAACACCACAATATCAAAGAGGAATATATAACTTGTCAAGTTTTGAAGAGTCAGTAACACTGAGTCACTTTGTATGATATGTTGGAACAAGCTACTTTCATTCGAAAAGTAATAAAACGTTACACACTGCATATGATTATTTTCTTTTTCTACAACTTGATGGGACTGGTCCATATATGTTTAATTCTTTAACTTTTGTGGTTAAATGTTAGACACAACTTGACCAAGCTTTAGTTCTCCTTGCTATTCATAACTTGACCATGTGTTAGTCCACGTTATACATGTATATCACGGTTTAGAGAAAAAGAACTTATTGTCCATTACAAAGCTATTGATATTTACCCTATCACGATAAAATCAAAACACAAAAACAAAAACGAAAAGGTAGAACTTCGTTCTTTCCTTTCCTCTCGACTCAACAGCTGCGTTTAAGTATATGGTTTTCATGGGCACTTTGTCATTTAAAAGTCTCATATCCATTTAAGAAAAAAAGCTGAAATG